CAGACTTAGCTGAAGTCATTAGACATTGGAGGTCGGCGATGACTTCTATTTTGCATATACACGGAGCCCCATCAAACTTGGCAAAGTAACGCAATGGCATTTCCCTTCTGCATAAACATGAAGATGTATGGAAGAGCAATGAGGTAAAACCAACGCAATGCCGCAAACACGGTGGTTCATTTTGTCAAGGTTACTCACAACCCTGACCACTCACGATTGGACTTTTGGTTTCACAAGGAACAGTGCATCGGAAGCTGCAATTCTTTGCTGAGAGAGAGAAGTCTTACCTCGAGCTGTATGTTGAATTTCAGAAGGTCCGAGAACAGATACATGTTGCCACACAGAGCTGAAAAGAACGCATAAAAGCTGTAGAAATTAGCATTCATAATATCGGATTGGAGAATTAGAGGCAGAGGAAAAGTCCAGGGGAAATGTTTGTTTTACCTTGGAGATTAATGTTGGCTCCCACCGTTCTGAAGATCAAATTGCGCTGTCTGTGATACATCGTTCCCAGGTACATTCCATAGACCATGTTAAATGTGCCAAATACACACATGACGATTAGTCGAACCTTTTGAAAAAAAAGCTCAGAATAAAAATCTGGTTAAAAATGCCTTTGATGTCACATTCACAGCAAAGATGCATCAAGCCTATGATTTACTTAAACATCGTCCGTGATACTCTACAGGTGGTGATTGGTTTGTCACTACACGCTTATGAAGAAAATACTGCCATATGGTTGTTGTTGGTTACGTGACAATCTAAACGTTTGTGAAGACAATTTCTGTTTCGCTCAAGCTTTATTTGCGACTGACTGTTAAAGGTACCGTTGTTCGTCTCCTAAAATCCCGGATGATATTTCCCCGGTCCTGCTCTGGTTTGGCAGCCTTCATATTAAAGGAAACCGAATAGACATGGTGTGTTTTTTACTCACCAGTTTGACGATATCGAGACCATCCTCCAGCGTCTCGACAAAGTTCGCGATGCAGTAGATGAAGAGCGCCGCGATGCTGAAGGCGAAGACGAACAGTTCGTGGGGGTGCTCCAGGAGGATGGCGTGGAACATGTAGAACAAGCAGAAAACTAGGAGGCAGGGGAAAGAGAGTGAAAGGGATGACAGTGGATCTACTCCAGGAGGATGGCGTGGAACATGTAGAACAAGCAGAAAACTAGGAGGCAGGGGGAAGAGAGTGAAAGGGATGACAGTGGATCTACTCCAGGAGGATGGCGTGGAACATGTAGAACAAGCAGAAAACTAGGAGGCAGGGGAAAGAGAGTGAAAGGGATGATAGTGGATCTACTCCAGGAGAATGGCGTGGAACATGTACAACAAACAGAACACTGGGAGGTAGGGGAAAGAGGGTGAAAGAGATGACAGTGAATCTACTCCAGGAGGATGGTGTGGAACATATAAAGCAAGCACAAGACTGAGAGGTGGGGGAGAGAGGGTGAGTTGGATGCAGCGAATCTCTTCGAGGGCGTAGCAAGAGTGCTCAGCCCTCCTCGTGGGAGCTTAGCCTCTGTTTAGCCACGCCCCATGGTCGGAATTGTTATGAAAACGAAGATATGGGTGAGAATGGCGATGCTGGTGGTGGTGGAGAAGGCGGAGTTGTTAGTGTTGGTAGGATGATGTTGTGGTGACAGTGTTGGCGTTGACGATAGTGAAAGTGATGATAAAGGTAGTGGCGTGACGGGGCTACGTTGGTGTTGAGGGTGGTGATAATTTGCCCCTCTTGTTGAGATTAGGAAAATGATGGCAATGGGTGACATTTAAGATAGCTACAAAGCCCCTGAACCCAATGATGATGGCACAAACAAGGACAACGATACTGGCAAAGACACCAGGAGGTCATTTACCTATGTTCACGACGAGAAGTAAAGCGAAGGTGAAGTAGGGGGTAGCTTTATCGGACGCAACCAGCCGGTCTATGGTCAGGCCCAGCGTGACCAGCAAGCTGACGGTCCCCGTGACGAGGAAGACTTTCTCCCGCCTGTTGATGTTGAACCACTTGCGGTACTGAACATGGCAAGCACCGGAAAGTGGTTAAAATGAGATTAGTTCATAGGTACAACATTGGCGTATCCAGCAGTTGAGGGGACAACTTGCCACCCTGACGTAATTTTTCACGTTCATTTTCATTTCAATACTTATTTATCAAAATTTTTAATAATATTTATTTATTGAATATTAGCGCCAAAGCCCTAAGAAAAGAACACCACGAAATAAAAGCTAGGATTTGGGGACGTGAGTAAGGCTTTTGATATGTGTTTCTCCACCAACATCATGTCAATACGATACCTTAGTTTAATGCATGAAAAGTTAACAGGGGTGGTCTTTGCACACGCACACATTTGATGAACACATAGCATACTTACACACAGAATGAAGATTACATTCCAGCATCATCATGCGATGTACACGTCTATATCACGAGCATCCCAATGTCTATTTTGCGGTTTAATAATATCTTCCGCCCCGTAGCTCCATGAATATGGTTTTTGGGTCACGGTTTGCTGGATGGGGTTTAACGTTGGTAAACTTTTTATGACTCGAATGCATGACAGTAGGCCCTCTTTACAAGTTACGGTGACTTTCCACCACTTCCGAGGAAGTCTGGTGAAAGAGAAAAATTTAATCATTTTGGACTTTATGCTGATGACGATTTTTATAATTCTTGAGCCAAAGCGTGATGTCTCTCACACTCGTCTTTTCATGTCACTATAGTCTTCTCTACTTTGTCTTGAAACAAGTTCCACTTTATATTTGGTTTCATGCAAAAAATCCTTGATGGATAATAGTATTATTTGCCCATGTTACTTTTGAAGGATCGGTTTTATAAACATGTACTGTTCTTACAGGCTTCTATCAAGGAGTGCCACATATTACAATATAAAACAGCGCCCTCTTGCATGCGGTGAGGAAGCACTCTCAAAGAAGTGTAAACCTACCTCGTCCTTCTCACTGTACCAAAGAAAACAGTGTTTACATCTTGTTTGTATTGTTGTAAAGCATTATAGTAATTTGCATGAAAACACGTTGGGCTCAGTATCTACCGCATGACTGTTTCTTTTGAGTGAAGTGGGGTTAGACGGTTCAAAATTCATAGCATTTATTTGATCTCTGAGCAATTTGGGCAAAGAAGTTTGACAACGTCAAAACGTGCATCCTTTTCTTGACCCTTTTAACAGTCTTTTCCACCCACAGCAGAGATGAATGCCTTCGAAAAACTATTCGTCACTCGATACCCTTACTTATCCCTCGCAAACGTCTCACTTGACATTTTACTGACATGTAACCGCTACTTTTTTTCGGTTAAATTTGGAACTTTCCTTGTTCGTGCTGGGACAACGTGCATGCACGTTGTGTATTACTCGTCTCCACCGTCCTTGTACGGGGCCTATAAAGGAAGGGCAGAATGACGCTCCGCAGAATTTTGTGATATGGGTCACAGCTACAGACGGACAGAGCACTGTAGGAAGGATGTTCATATGCAGTCAATGGGCACGTTTCATGCGCACACAGAAGGGTTGACCTGTTATTATGGTTCCAACCAGGGCAATTCTATCCAATGAGAGCTCGAAGAAATTACGTCATGCAATCTCAGAACATCAGCCCGTTCCAGGTCCCTGTTAGAGCGACGGGATTGAGAAATTGAAAAGAATAAACTATTAACATAGGTCCCAGCCCTCGCCTCAGCCCGAAGTCTTCCGAAGTGACTGTTACAACACTTAGCATAAGATATGATGATCATAAAATGATTCATACCCGGTATCCGGAAATGCTATTCTGACTCAAAAAGCCAATCTTATACTACCTACGTGAGGAGAACTGTCGACGTTTAAAGGTACGTTACTCACAATTGGCTGTAACTGAGCATACCAACAACATGGCTGACGGTGAAATGTGGTTCCCATGGGGGCAACGCCGTATTAGTTCCACATGTCAAGTTGATGACATAAAACACTATGCATGAACTGTGGTTTCTGTGGTGATTTTGAAGTTCTTTTTGGTTGTCTTTTTCATAAAATGTGTTTTGAAAACCTAAATGCAAAACGAACAGTTTGTCAGACCCGAAATACACATTTTTCACGAGGCCCAATCGCATCCAGATTTGGGAGGCCGGACAACAACCCACGTATTACTCCGCAATTAGCCCTCAACTGCTGCGCCCCAGAGAGGGAACTTTCAATTTTCCGTACCCTAATTACTGCCCTAAATGTTACCGCTCCAAGATATTACACCTATACCTGATGAGTGGGCGGCCTCGGGGGAAACAGTTTTGCCCCCCCATGCCTCCCCACTTTCTAAATCAATTTCCTTGCTTGGATTCAGTAACCGTAACCCAATAACTCCCCGTCTTCTCCAGCAATTGTGGTGTGCTGATTCTGCAAGGGTAAACGCTACTTGGATTATAAATTCTCGGGTTGAAGATATGTTTTGAATGCACACGGCGACTGTGTGATGTCCAATGGATAGAACGAGGAGACCAGCAGCGTATCTAGCTTTTGATGTCAGGGGGGCAACTTGAAAAGCGAATGTGGATTGAGGCTAATTTAACATGAGAGAAAAGTATCCAAAGCCTCACTCACTGGTCCCGACATCTTTGATTTTATTTCGTGGTGATGTTTTATAAGGGTTTTGGTGCTAATATTTTATAAATAAGTATACTGATTACTTTCTTTCCTGTTCACCAATGAAGTATTATTTATAAAAAAAAAATCCGTCAGGGGGCAAGTTTCCCTGCCCCCACTGGATACGTCACTGAGGGCGACCCTCGAACTGCAGAGATCAAAATTTCTTTGGCCAGATCCCTTCTTTGGGTACTCCCTCTCCAGCGTAACATAATGTCTGCTGGTATATCAAAAGCTACAGATTTGCCGATTATATACACACAATGGATGTCTAGCGCAAATTGGGACCTCGCGAAAATCAAATTAGTTTCCTTTAAAGAGCATGCTCTGTTCATGTCAGCTCAATCACGAGATGATAATGTCAAGGTGATGACAATAAATCTGCGGCGATTCCAAATTTAACGTAACCAATTGTACTTGAATTGGAGCGGTGGTTGCCTTTTGTCCTCACCCCCACCCCATGCACCCGTGCGACGTCGGTTCCGGAATCCCAGTTAGCACACCATGTGGACTCAGGTCTGTTAGCCCCCCTACTTCTAACGTAGTTATCCTAACTTCAACTCCATCACAATTTCAACTTTTTTGTAGTCCTTAGTTATGGTTGTACGTTTAGTATTAACTTTCAGTTTTAATTCCTCGGGCTGACATGACGATCAAGAAACTCAGACAGACCCGGGCTCCACTAACTCATCGGTGCTACCTTATAAAAAGACTGCCAAGATCTGACGACAAATATGTTTGATATCATGCCACTATTAGTGTACTGTCAGCTGGCAATTTCACCTGTCTCAGTAAAGTGCATGCAAGTCATTCTTTGTGGCGTTTTGGTTTGCTCCCCTTTCCAGTTTCAAAGCCCCCTGACTGCCTTAATTCGCCGGAAATTAATGACTAAATGGCGCGGCACTTTAGCGCTCCCTAAACGCTGTAGCGCTGTGAGAGTGGGTTGTTCTTTATGGTGACGTCACCCCGTCACCTGTGATGGCCAGTCTATCGAGGAAAGCCCGGGACCTGGCTGTCATGGGGGGGGGGGGTGTGCTAAACCGCGGCCCTTCCAGGGGCAGAAGCACATATGGAAGGGTTAATGCTGGTGTCAGAAGTCGACAACGGTGACTGATGTCGACAAGACGCAAGGTCAGTTTGAACAATGCTGTTTTTGCAAATGGGAGGGGGTGTTATAATAGCGGATTCATGTGGAGCAAAAATTGGTTGCCAAACAATCCCCCAGAATGTAACGTTAAATTCCACATAAGTATATAAAGATCAACGGATGTCCCATCGTGCGATGTAAATATTTTGGCCACCCTGACACCCGCTTAACGGAAATTAATTCAATGTCAGTTTGACCTTTTACGGCAAAACCGCGGAGGGAATTCTCAGTTAGCTGGGATGGATACATGCCTAATAACATTCAAGTTCCCTTCTGGTTTCAGATAGAAGGTTTGCAGCGTACTTACCGGGCCAACAACCGTATCTACAAGCGGTCGCTCCCGTTCAACGTCGACTCCGAAGTGCGCGAAGGTCGCGGGGCGGTCGTGGTCCTTGTAGAGGGTAAAATACGGCTTCATGTCCAGGCCGAACTCGGCAAACGTTGCCGGCCGCTCCGGCAGCTTCACCCGCGCTGGCTTGGGCCGCAACTTGTCCATGGTCTTACCCTGAAGTCTCCAGACTCGCTTTCAAACGTCAACACAGAGCAGACGGCGCTTGTTGCTCGAGGCCCGTCCGGTGCAGCCTCATGTCACCGACAGGTTTTGAGAGAGCGAGATACACTGCTAAAAGGTTTGAATGTGTCATACAGCCGATGATCCATGCTATTGATGACCGAGATTTGCTGAATGGCGGCGCTCTCGTCTCGTGACCTTTCTCACACTACGCCACAGTTCCGAGAGGGATCATTCCCTCCCCCCTAACTGATTTCCCTACGGCAGGAGTTGTCATTTCACGATGCCAACTCATCTCAACTCCAGAGGATGACTGTATTCGGCCGAGAGCTAGAATCATGGGGATTGATATGCAGGCTGCCACCAGTAGACTAGCCATCAAGTTTTTTTTGGCGTTGCTTTTGTACGGTCAACTTGTCAAATTCCAAGACGATCACACACACAACGACACATAACAGTCACCATTTTTGAGATGAGTATAAAAAGATTCATTGCGCTTTTACTGCACGGAAGCACTTTCACAACTTTTTGATTTTCAAAAATTGCACAGCATTAGGGAATAACAAACTTATTCTATTTACATTTGGAAGTGGTACATTAAGCTTGAAATGAGAAACGACTAATTTGTTTTTTCCCCACAAATTTTATAATTTAAACAAAGAAACTTTTTTCTAATTATATTGATATCGTGTAATACAAACGATCTATTACCATCATGTATAGAAATACTATGAATCTTTTTTTTTCAGAAGTGGAGTGCCGACAATGAAAAGGATTCATCGAAAGGTTAATTTGATTGTCTGTTTTAGCCCTTACGATGTTAAGATAATGTAAATGTACAGGGTGTCCACATAAAAAAGTATACCGAGATAAAAATTACTGTAATACCAAAACTACGTTATGTATGGGGAGGAGAAATATATCTCTAGAAAGGGCAGAATGCTGTCGTTGCAATGGTATACAGCTTGTGATGTTATTGACACAGATGAGTGAACAAACTAGACCGATGTTAAGGGTACTGAAATCGGCACTGTGACAAGTTTGCATATGTGATTAACAAGGCTAGACCATGCAAGTGTGCAGAATACCAAATGCCTTTGCTTTAAGAACTGTGAGAAGTTGCATATTGATAACAAAAGTCAGCATGTGCGACTTCTTTTTATGGCGTTACCTTCAGAACCAAATTTTCACTACACCATCAGCTAATGTTCAGGAGTTAACGTGCAAGAATAGCGGAAGAAGTCAATAATCTCCGTCAAGACCTTGAAATGATCAGACGAGCAGCAAGGGACATGTTACGAGGATGTCAGATGTGCATGGACAGGGATGGTGGCACATTAAACTGATGAGGTAAGTAGCGAAAACAAAGTAGATGAGATTGATCAATGGAAGAAACTACTGACACGCAAAAAAGATAGGCCTAAGCCAACAAAAAACTTAGTAAAAATATAGCTTCTCAAGTTATTTAGCTTTGAATTCAACCAAGTAGTATCAAAGCGAAACAATTTGGGACATTACTTTTAATAAATGGAGAACAGCACTGAATATAAGAAACCATCAAGACACCCTAACACGCACCCGTTTATTACATCACATCTTCAACTATGTACAAGCTAGAATGAAAAAGTGTCGAAATGTGACCTCTAAACTGGAATCTACCTATAGACTAATCTAACGAGGCGCCATTATTGCGGGGCAACCACATCTGGCACGGGTCCTAATACCTTGAGTGCACGCGTACTTTTGCAAGTCGAAAACACCCCATTGGTCGGGGAGGAATGTAGCGCGCGCGTACCAATCGCACAGGCATGCGATTAGTATGGCCCCGCAGTAATGGCTTTATCTTGTCGCTGGATTATAGCGTATTTTTGGGCTACACATGATAGTATGAATAAGCAGATCAAATGCATAAAAAGGATAAAGTTTTCTTCATTGAGCGACTGGGCATGACAGAACGGTAACTGGCTGGTAGTCTGCAAGTGGTATCTCAGGTTGCACCACAACGGCGGCATTAATTGTAGCATATAACCAATGTGTAGTCAACTTGCGCTCACTTGTGCTCGAACTGATTCACAGAAGCGGAGTGATGCCTCTCCCTGCTTCACCACACATTGCAAGGACGGTCACAAATGGAAAGAAAAAAGTGACAGAGGAGGCAAATCGAAAGCTTGTTTTTGGTTCTTTGTACTTTCATCCATTTTTCATACAGGACTTCCAAGTTTGGGTTCAATAGAATTCGGCATTAAAGAGACCATTACACGAAAGTCGATTGGGGAATGCATCCCTGGCAACTTTCTATAATTCCCTTTTAATGTAATTGCTGATAAGCTAAAAATGGAGGCCCGCAGTTTGTGCTGCTACCAAGCTGTGTTAGGATGGTATACACTCTAAAAACGTCCGGGTCAGATTGACCCAGAATTGGGTCCCATTCGGTATGACCCTTTTCTGGGTCAAAATATGACCCCTTTTGGGTCCCATTTGACCCTTTCTGTGTTATAATTTGACCCAGAAAAAGGACGTTTTGAGAGTGTAGCTAGTTCAAATTAAACCTTTCAAAAATCGAAAATTCAAAGAGACACGCCAAAACGTTACAAATTACGTGTTTAATGAGACGTTTGGTGTTTTGTACGCCCCCTAACTTTTTGTAGAAGCCCGAGAAAAAAAGTTCTTATTGCACCCTACACAGCCTACCCTGTATCGACCCGAGTAAGAGTACCAATTTTTTGGTGTGTTTCGTAGGGACCTCTAGCGGGCGACATTGATTTCGACTTACCCTCTCCCTTCATGCCTTTGCCAAAATTTCGATAGACGCTGACCAGAGCGCCACAGAGAGTTACTCTCACCACCAAGCCGAAGATGCCGAACACGATGCTGGCTGCCGGAATCACTTTGCTGATTGAGAAGGTAGCCCAGTGAATTCCGATCTGTCATCAGATCATTGACGAAAAAGAGAAATAATATTGTTATTACAAGTGCTCTTCGCTATCCATTTAGTGTAGGAACAATGTGAGATTTTGATACGCTTGATGGCAGCAGACAAACCGATCCTTTTGGCAGGTCTTGACATGTGCTCGCGATTTTGGGTATGCAAACGTGGTTCTGAGCACTTGCACAAGTGACACTATTTATAAACGCACGGACCGCCAGACTGCCTTCAAAACTACATGAACTTTCGTGATCGTTGCGGGCGCCCGACTAAAATCGAAACTAAACACACTTGTATTCTTGTGGGGTAGTTCCTTTGCTCTCCTGTACTAAAGAACTAGTGGGTAAAGCGCAGTTTCCAAATCGCACCCATTTGAACAACACTGTCTTTCTTGGGTTGATATTTCAACCATATGTCCTGCATGTAAAATACTTTATTTTGTTATGTGTACCTACTTTGGAGTAAATTCCAAAAAATCTATTTTGTGAAAGTCTTGTGGGGTAACATATATTTAAGCACCTCACAAGGACAACGAATGTTCCTTATGGGGTACTTTCTATTGTTCCGGTACCCAAAAGGCACCGTAATACACGCACGGGTTATGTGTGTTTTGCGCAGGTGCGCTATGGTTTGGTTAGAATCAAAGATACCAGATTCTTCCATTATCTTGGGTTGGAATGAGCCAATTCGATATTTCGAAGGGTAAAGTCAATTGAGAGCAAAGCATGCACAATATTAAAAAGGTCTGTCTGTCGACCCTTTCCAAACGTGCATCGGGTGGACCTATTTGGCACGTTGTGATTGGCCAACGCGTTGCAAACTCTTGGAGGCGCACTACTGAGAATCGCCCGTATTGGCATTACAGAAGTTGCTATTTGTGACAGCACTTTCTACTGTCAATTTGTCTCTCTATACTTATATAAATTCGTACTTACGGATTTCATAACCGTACGTAAGGATTACTACTTTGCACTGTAAATAATGATCCTAGGCACTACTCGCATTCAAAATTCAGCCTTGAGCAGAAGCGTCTCCTCATCGTTTGAAAAGAGCCACGCAGGTGGGAGTGTTGCTTTGTTGGTAGGGCCAGACGCGTACACAACCCACAGTAGCTCATAGTCATTCGGGAACCAGCAAAAGTGGAGTTCCTACCTAAGGAGCTTCCGTTGTTAGGAAATCGAACGTTCTCTCAGTCCCGCTTGGGCTTAATGAATTGAAGTTTAGTCATGCAACGCAAAAGGTGGCTTTCTAATCCCTACGTACGGTTTAGTAATCCGTACGTACGAATTAATAATCCGTGCGCACAAATTAATTTTTTTTCACAGTATAATGTGCTCTCCCAAAACAGCTAGTTCTGTGATGCCAATTGACAATAGAGTCTACTGTTATATAACATATATATTTATAACAGTGCAGCCTGTCTAGTTTTTGCCGATGGTAGAATGCTTCTTGCTCTCAGGGGACGGATATTTTGTCCAACTGACGTGCATGTGTGAAATTAACCGGGAATTGTTGTGGAAGGATGTATTGTTGTGTATTTCACTTTTATCTGCGACTCATTGATAAAATGGTTATTACAGGATTTGCGATGGTTTCAGGTAATAAATACAGTCTAACACTGTTATAACAAGGCCCAGTTTCACGGAGCTACTGGTTGTGCTTACTACATTATAAGCGGAGCCTCTGTTAGCGTGAAATCACGTGCTAAGCACTAAGAAATTTGGCCAAATTACCTTTTTATAACAGGTACCTAAGCTGTATTTATTTGTAACAGAAAACAAAGAAAAACAAAGACTTTGGAGTGCATATACAGTGTTGTGTATTTCATTTTTATATGCCACACGCATTGATGCAAAGGTTGTTAGGTCTAAATGATTTGCAATGGTTCCAGGTATAAATGACAATTTAATTCCGGAAGTTTTCATTTCCTCCGGCGGAAATGTTCATACTGCATTGCACTTAAGAGGTTAAATTTCTGCTACACTCTCCGCCAAGTTGTGATACATTACCAGTTTTTGTAGTGACAGTCAACTTGTGCACCGGCGAATAGTGATACAAAATCCGTTAGCTACAATGGTAAGACCCTCTCCTTCGGTGGATATTTCACAAACCATACTTGAAAGCCTACAGTGCCGTTGCGCGTCAGGCGGGAACACAATGGGGAAACCGGTCCAGACGGTGAACTAGAATCCACGCAGTCGTCGGAGCCTGGCCCTAACCTTTATTCTTTTAAGCAGACGCTCAGCTTTTGAACAACACTGAAACCAGGCTATGTTAAACTGTTTGTTTCTTATACTCACATCCACAAATCTGTAGACAATGTAAGCTGGCTCGCACCAACTCAGCCCCAGGACGACATATACCATGCGTTTACTGTCTTTGGTCATCTGCAAAGGAAATTTGATGGAATCGTGAGAACCTCTAATCCAAAAGGTTTCCAGACTTCGAATTTTTACTTAAATGCTTTAATTGTGTGGATGTGCCCAAACAAGAAGTGATCGACATCCCAGGAATATCGACGAGTGATGGAAATTAAATTAGTACTAGGTCTTGACACTTACAGGCGTTTTTAATACATTTCATGATAGAGTTGATGGAAGCCTGAGTTAATCAATGAGGCACGAGAGGAACCAGGAGAGGGGGCAATTTTCCTAGCAGGGAGGCTCCTTTGGTCGGAACTCCAGAACTCCTGCACTCCAGTGTTTCATTAAAAGACCATGAAATGCACGCAGTACGGTTGCATTGTGACCAACAAAGTGAACTTTCCCTGCGAACATGCTCTTTGCAACCAATGAAGGGGTACTGCGAATACGTATTATAAAAGACACGCATTGTTAACACTCCGTTGAAAATTAATGAGGGTTTCGCATCCCGTGTCATGCACGCTTCTCGACTGTCCTACGTTGGCATTGCAATACAACGATAAACGCAGGGCATACCTTTGTAATACATGTAACTAACACAGGAAGCAAGACTGCACTGGCACGGTCGGTTGAATGTGCACAGGTCACAGACTGACTCAAGCCCATTTTCCTTGGACGGCCAACTCGGCCCGGAGGCGGCTAGTGGCCGACTCGGACAGCACGTCAGACTCGAATGGAGTCCACACATGTGAAAAGAGTTGGAATCCCCTTTAAAAGTAACTCTTATCTGTTGGCTGAGTTACGCACTGGGAAGATCCCCTTATGACGCCTGTATGTACCTTAACGTTGTTGGTACCCCAGGTCCTACGCATGAATACGTACCCTTCCTGGTGCAACATTCATTAGCCTGTAGTCTTCTCTATGCTCCGACCATTCTCTATTGACTAAATTTCTATAATACTGTTATCAAACGACGTTTTACGTCCGACCTGGGACTTGACTCGGGATGGAGCCTGCTTTGAACAAACTGGACGTAGATTTAGCTCAGACTCGAGTATTTGTGGACCGGACTCAAAGGAAGTGGACTCGACTACGTCACTGCACGAAGCACTCGACATGAAATTCGTGCAGGAAGACCCAAGCGCAGCTTTTATGTGTAAGAACCGATTTGAATAGGGCTGGCCTCACAGGAAGTGTTCTACTCACTGCCAAAACTCCGCAGACAGTCCAGATGCTGACGTAGCTAATTCCTAATGTCAGTATAACGGTCTCTGGGGGATTGGCATCCTGCCCTGACTTCAGTGCCAACACCACCAGGCTAAGCTGTTGGGTAGAAAAATAAAAATGCGAATGTCGAGTCGGCGTCAAACAGTGAGCTAGTGTTTTTAGATATGCGACGGGTTCCAACTGACTCTGTTTTCAGCCAGGTCACAAATGAGCCAAAATTATCTGTGAAGAAAATGCAGTTAAAGGCCATGGTAAGGATGCATTGTACAGGACATTTACCTCCAACTGCAGGTCTATCTTGAGCATGCTCGCCGAGAAACACATCCTGGAGTAAACACCTCATTAAAGGAAGAACAAAAACACGGCGCTTGTTTTTATATGCCTTTGTGTTGAGCTGACGTCCCGTTTCATCAGCCCTCGTCAGCGTGGATATTAAATAGTCTTTGGGATAGTTAAATAGTCTTTGGGTTAGTTACCAGGAAACATTGTTCTGTGAAGTTTATGAGGAGTAATTATTCATTGCGTGTCTGCCTGTTGACAGATAGAAACCTGGCAGCATGGGTCGGTGGTCGGAACATTGAATTAACGAAGCTAGTACTGGAAAACACTAAACGTCCAAGTATCCCTTACAGTTGTTAAAAACAGTTTTCCTCTAATAAGGAGAACAATTTCTGAGTCTCATTCCATTTTTGATAACTAAAAACGGGAAGTACAATATCGCTATGCATTAGAATCTTTCCTTGTGCGATCCCTTCAAAGGTCCTGCATGTTTATAGCACAGCAAACTAATCAATAGTCTCCATGTTAATTGTTCCTCGTCATTTTCACCTCTTTTCAACGGCTCGAAGGGGGGGGGAGGTTCCGCTCAAGGCGGATAGCATGAACATATTCTTCAAATAGGAGAAGAGGAAACGAAGGCGCTGTGAATTCCCCAATGCAATCGATACGTGGAACAGGACTCCTTAAGATCTTGAAGGGGTAAGAATTGTCCACTGCATGATGCACCTTGACGGTCTACCAGGGCCCCTGCACATCTGAAGACGACGTCAGTGGACGACCAATACGTAGCGGACATGATGGCTCCAAAAATAATATTGATGAGTCCCATGACTAGGAGGATAATCATTCTTGTCTGAAAAGAAAAAAAGCCTCCACTCAAACTAAAGATTTTTTGAGTGATTCTATAGCTCCCCCAAATATTTTAGGCTGCTAGACGAATACCGGTTCGTCATTTCGAGTTACAACACAATAAATATAGTCATTAGTGTTTAACTTCAGCATCTGAAGAAAAGAAAATCAAGAAATATTCTCTAAATATGGACGCACGAGACTACTTCTTGAAATCAAAACCTTAATAGTTTGGAAAAATTACTCTCAACTCACAAGTTTGACTCTCCTTTCGTACTTTTCCATATCTGGTGAATTGATTGTCACTGCAAAATTAAGGATGCATTCAATCATAAGAATCAAGGTGCCCACAATGAAGATGAATATCTCGTAAGATCTCTCGGTAAAGACGCCGTTTATCACATAGCAAAGAACGAAGCCTAAAAAACAGAAACAAACACACAAAGGTTACATTTAGTGGCATATAACTAATAAGGGGTCGGGGTGGCGTTAGGAGACCTGTATGTGCGCTTTCCTATGGCAGCAGTAAGGTGGGACGTGATCCATTTTCCCTTAGAGGAAAGCCCACATGTAAACAAAGCATGACGCCATTATGTGTTAGATCTGTTGAATGTTCCATCTAATGCATCGACGTTAAAGTCCGTCCCGTATCACAAGAAACCTTAGACTCCTTGGGTTACGCATGCATGAATTTACAGTGTTACGATATCTTTTCGATACTTACCGTTAGGATAAAAATGTTTTTCTACCTCGTCATTTCATAAAGGGAAAGCACGTGTTAAAATTATATACTTTATTTTATAGTTGATATACATGTAGTTTATTTCTATTTACATAAATTACCTTTCATTTTTTACAATTAAAAATACACAGCTAAAAATATTTTTTAAAAGTAGATGTACCTACTATAACTACAGCAGTTAATAACTTACAGATATTAATCATCACGACCACTGAGAATGTGAAATATGGCGAGTTCACGGGCACAGTGGCAAGCCTTTCGATGGTCAGACCTGCCGCAGCTAGGATGCTCAGGGTGGACGATGCCAGGAAAATCCACTCCTTACACGATATGGTTGAAAAGTGGCGTGTCTGTCAAAAATGGGGACAAGTGGAGATGGTCACCCCCCAAATAACTGTTTCCTTAGTGCTTACCGTGCCCTAAATCTTCAACTTACATGTCCAACTAGTCCTAACCCCAGACACTCTAAACTAAAACTGGCAACATCCATATTATTATTGCTTTTCTTTACAAAGGAACATCGAAGCCGTACAAAAACCGTTATAAAAACAATAAAGTGAACGAAAAATTAAAAAGTTTAAAATATTAAATATCCTTATCCAATAAACTGAGGTGTAAAGAACAACGTGTGAGAATTCAATGAATGTCTTCTCTGCATAAAGAACGCTAGTTACCATAAAGACTGGATTTTGGATTTTAAGGACTGATACCATGATTTTAAGGGCAACTGTTTTGTACGTTCTGTCAGTGTGTGGGAATTTTTAGTGACTGACAGATATCCTTAAAAAGAAAGACTGATGGTAGAATCACTAGACCGAATCACACGTAAAGCTTTCTTTTCAAAATTTTCCAATCATTTTTTTTGTTGCTCTTTAGTCTGGCCACAAATCCACAGTCTGGTGAGGCATACCCGAGCTGATCTTAAACTGATTGTATGGAGACATTAACGAGGGAATTTACTTGAATATTGCATCCTTTTATCTGACGTTTTAGCAAAAAGACCATGAATGAACGAACAGGTCACACTTCTTTCAAATATTGAGTTTTCCACGGAGCCACACTAAGGTACCAAAGGAAAACACGCACGGAAATTAAAGTGTGGCGTCAACAGTAATGCGGCTTTTTGTTGAATTGCTTTTCAACGTGAGTGTTCCACTTGGGTTATCCTATAATAAGCCTTTTGCGAGTTACATTAATTTGAATAAAATCTGGTACACTGAGTTCCTTAAATTCACGTGAACATAAAAATTTGAATTCTCCACACTAAAGACACTGCTTTTATACCGCGTGATTCGGGGCAAGCTGTTGCTCAATTTTTACTAAAGAAACGCCATGCACCGATACACTGTTTGCAATGGATAAGAAGGGCAAAAAGGAACCAATCTATTCCAGAGATGGTGGTCAAGATAAAAAAAAACTTGCCTGGAATCATGATGGAATCAGATGACACAGTGTACCAGATTTTATTTAAATTTACTTTGCAAAATGCTGACTTGATACAATCTGTTCGCTCTTTGCGCAATCAATGAATCAACAATGCGAACGAAGGGGAATCCCACCGGGTGCTTTACGAAATATGAAACCAACCCCGGAAATGCCCTCTCCAGAAAAACAGTGCTTCATGTCTCCATTAAAAAACATCAGGTGATGACTATGTGGCCCTTTGGTGTTATAACATTATATCCCAAATCACTGTCAGTAGTTATTAAAGCACTCTATATAATGAATGAAAATACCATTTCTTTAATAAGGTCCAATGGAAGGTTGAAATGCGTACTCACGAACTGCATTAAAATTTCACTTCGAAATAGGAACTGTTCTGGTCAAATAATTAATGAGTGAAATTGAGTGAGGACTATTTCAGCCTGACCTGCCCACAGCATGTCTCCATGGATGAGGGCTGCTGGTGTATCCCAAGGTCAGAGAAACTTATTCTTTCCTCATGGTGGCCGCTGTCAGTGTCCGAATGCGTAGGGCAGGCCTGAATAGAGAGAGAGGTGTCCATCACTGCGGTACTGCCTGTTGATCGACAAGTAGGATAAATGAGATCGTGAAACCAGGGTTGATTCTATGGGGAGAAATCAGTTTTAAACCAATGCCCTCTTTAAAGAGAATCTCAAATGTTGTTGGCCTTGACTAATCACTATCCTAGCTGGCAAACACTTATGCGTTTGCTGGCCGTTGTCGGACGAAGGGTGTTCTTTTCACTATTTTACTTGAGACTTCTCTGACATACTTCCATCAGCAAAACTTAAGTGATGTCGTTATAACATGAGCTCATGAACGGCGCAGAGAACTTTTATAAGGGCCCTTTCCAAAAAAGAATCGTTCGTCCCGTTGAAATCGATAAGACCGTCGTTTCATAAAAATGGTGACAGAATACATCTACGCATGCACCCTTGTCAAAATCTACGAAAGACAAAAAGGACAGCGATTTATAACGGAGAATTCCAGCTGTGTTATAGTGAAGTATTGCAGACTCACCGTAATCCTGGGGACTTGCCATCTTCAGCACGGACAAAGCAACAACCCCTCAACGGTGCAGATAGATGTGGGATTGTTAATCCAGTCGTTCAATTTCCCTGGGCAAAAAAAGAAGTAATGATATCATCATGTCATGCAGGCTTGCGATTCAGTTCGGCCGTTGTGAGTTTGTACTGTGATACGGCAACACAACACAGTAAGCTTCTGACGAGCATGCTGGATGGGAACCAGTCTGGCGTAAACAAGGCGATTAATACACAATATCTCTGAACCCTGCCCCCGGCCCACAGAAGGCAGTATGTGTTTATGACAATGGCTGTCCACATACCTAGACAAACGAACCTACGGTAAAAATGTCATGTTAGACATTGCTGGCTATAACGACAGGTAGGCCTAAGATAATAATACACTCAATGCGCAAAAAAAATGACATTTGTAGGAACATGCAATAGATACAGCAACTCAGGCCTCGGAAAAGCCCTTTGCATTTTTGTAAGAGAGAGGGAGACAGATGTTCTATTTGGACTTCAGCGAAAAGGTACACGCATTTGACTGAATGTGGTCAAATGGGAACTCTTGAAAAAGGAAACGAATGTCCACCGTGGACACTTGATATTTGTGGGGAAAGGCTCGATCTCTAAATTAACCCTAACAGTCCTCAGTCCTCCAACAGGTGAAGGATTGAGGAGGGTTAGGAATAATCCAAAATAATGCTGATTCTTTCAGCTTTGTAAACCCTGCACTTACCAACATCTGCAGTATTAGGATCATCGAGCGCTAAATTTCCAAGTTGGCTTCATGGTCCTCTTTGTTTTTCCCCATTGCTTTTCCTGCTATAGTCAGGAATTTGATCGGAGTGAAGGTTTTTCCTTCTTGTGTATTTAAATATTCCATTCGTTGTTAGCTTTTTTCATACATTTAATTGGTGTTTTAGTCTAATTTTGTCATTGTTCATAAGTCTCTTTGCATGTATTTATTTGTATTGTTGATATACTTTTTGAAGTATATGTAAATTACTGTATGTGCGCATATTTGTTTAATTGAAATGTTGTTTATGTTTGAGTTTTTGTAATTCGTAGAGGGGGCTTATTTTGTTTGTTTTTTTTTCTCTCTCTATTTGTTGGATCTCAGCATTTGGGAGAGCCACTTGATTGTGAGTAATTTAGTTCGCTTTTTGGCAACTTTGGTATCTTTGCAAACTACTAAAGGAGGCGTGGAGAAAACATCCTGCTAAAATCAGTTGCTTGAAAAAATGCCAGCATTTGAATGGTGCTCTTTTGAAATTGCTTTTTCAAATGGGAAAAAGCAGGAAAGCAGAGGACAATTTCTTTTCCCCGTGTTCTCCTCTAAAGAGTTTTTTCCTGCAAGGTCGTTACTTAGTACTTACCGTAGTATCGATTCTGCAAGGTCGTTACTTTTAGGATATCAGCCTGGATGTAGAATCGATTTCGCAGCTTGGAAACTCTGCACCTCAAGTCATTTGCATTGTTTGCATTCTTAATGCGTCGGAAGTTTGTCTCAGTAAAGTATTTGCGCGCATGTTTAGGATGGGAATGATTTTCTAACTGAAGTTAAGGTTCAAAGTGTTGAAAACCCACACACAAGTAAAGGGGGCTTTCAAAATTGTAAGTCAAGATCTTGGTTCGAGAGATCTTGGATGCCTCGAAATCAAATTGTTAGGGTAAGGTGCAAGATTAATTTGTCGAACCCGCTGAATAAATCGCAGTGACCGTAGCAAATAGGACTAATTAGCGCATCACCTCTGAATTTTGCACAAAGAATAGTATTTTGTAACAGAGAGCAGTGATTTCTAAAACTTACGTAGAGACGTATCGCAAAGAACCTGAAAGTTGACACCTGGTGGCGCGCATCAGGAACCCTCGGTTAGGAAAAATAACGTGCGGCACTTTAATAATTTGTCCTTTTTGCCGTCCGTTTTTACTACTTAAAAAATATCATCTCGAAAAAAGTTGTAAAGTATTTTCTGGCACAGTAATTTATGTAGAAACTGAAAAATTACCGGACCTGAAAGAGAAATATCCTGCCAAATTTCGACCTCTTTCTTCCGAAATTCTAACACACATGACGATACTTGGTAGCAGTGAGCTTTACGAGAATATCAGCCAAAAGTACCATCCATGGGGTCCAAACCAGCGGTATAGCCAGGATTCTAAGGGGAGGGGGCAAGCAAGCGGGGGATTCACTCGATTTCTAAAGTAGGGGCATGACTGGATGTTGGACATGTACATTATCGTGATCACATAAAGTGGGGAAGACTGGGGGGGAGACGATTTTACATGGGGGGAGTGCACCCCCACAACCCTTTTAGCCACATCGCTGGTCAAAACTAAACTGTGCAACCTTGATAACGTTATGTTGCGACGGAACTCTGCACAATATTGAAATCCCTTTTAATATACGGCCCTTGAGGTCAAATTAAACTGCTAAACCTTGATTGGGTGCAATTAATCACCAATAATCTGCGCAGGCAGATACAGGCTTCAACTCCGATCCACTAGACAAGAAAATTTAGAATTGGTACCATAACGTAGGGTAACTTTGGTCAGTGGGGTAACTTTGGTCAGTAACCACTATAGGGTTTGAAAGGTTGTTATTCTCTAAAACGTACAGTGGATGGGGACGTATTTAGTATCATTTTATTCAGAAATATCATAGTTACTCATTAATTAACAGTTTCGTTGTTTGTGATAACCAGTTTTATTTTGATCCATTCCCCGTTTTGAAGACCAATAACAAAAGGTGGCCAATGTTGCCCCAAACCCAGGGTAACTGGTTACCCCTTTTTAAGCCCCAAGACGCCAATAAATTTTGAATTTTTTTTCAGCATCGAAGTTTACATGAGTATCACAATGCCCTGAAAGGAAGGGAAATTGAAATTTATTGTTTTTAACTGAGAAGAATTGATAACACATATGTAAAAAATGGCCCAAAGTAACCCCACGTTACGGTAGTAGGTAGTCTAAATCGTCGTGTTTTGTTTGTGAGCTCGTGCATGGCTGGCGTATTTGCCAGCAGATTGACACGTATTTTATCAGGCTGGGACGAGCACCAGGATATATTTTTGTGCCCAGGACCTTTCAGATTAACCCAATCAATAAACCAAATCAGCGCTCGCGTCCTCCACACGGGCCTCGTCTTAGCCCAATTAAGTAGAAGGGGGAAATTGGGTCCAAATAGACCAGGATGGATCCATAGGACAGGAAAAAGTGGCTGGGGCTGATACTGAAACTAACCCAACAGTAGAACACATTCAGAAAGCCTTTCAATGAAACCACAAAAAGCCACTCACGTATCTTAATGCGCAACTCATTTGAATTATACCGTCACCAGTAACAATTTCAACCCTATTAAAATAAAAAGTACACGTACACAAACAAATAAATGAAAAAAAAAGAAAATTGTTCATGCTAATCGATACAATGAATCACTCTTAACAAATTCCTTTACGCAATGATTACAGAAAACTTCATGATTACTGAAACTAATCAATCTACTAATTAAACAAATTTGTCTTTACTTTTCTTTGGGCTATTGTTTTGTGCTGTTTAGGAAACTCTTTTCTATTAAGAATAAGCTATTCTGGGAGTTTCTCGATCTATAATGAGATGCTGATAGGAAATACATTCAAACGAAAAACTCGGCACTTGTATGCAACTCTTAGCGTTTTTTTTTACATGCTAATACTCTTGCTAAAAAAAGGTATTCCATGCCAATGTGCAGAGAAAACATGTAACTTTTTCTATTCACCTATTTTCTAAAATAAGTTTTTACTATATGCAAGAACAAACTTTCCATGCAAGACTGGTCGAATAAGTCATTTTGATGTCACGTAATGAATCCTGGCAAAACGAAAATGTAAAATCTTACGCTTCTGCATAGAGCCACATTTTTAGGTATCGCTTCAAAGCGTATTTTCACAAGTGTATTCCAAACTGGAACCAGTTGAAGTGCTGAAACCTTGAAAAGTTCCAATGTGCAAGAAGACTAAAAGAAGTTTATAGAGCCCATTAATCCATTACAGTCTGAAATAATAAATGACTGGTATAATTACCGTTGGTTACCTACATGCACGTGCATAAGGTTAAGTAAGGGCATACTGTCATGCTAACCTCACGGCACACATGCTCGTCTCCTTCAGGCACCTTACTTGAGGTGAGGCAGTAGCCTGTCCTTGATTGATTCATTCTTGTCATGAATGTCAATTATAACGTGGACACCTTCAAGTTCCTTCTTCAATAATGGCTGAAAAGAGTTGTAAGCCATTTTGGTTTTCAGCGGGGCATCGTTAAGAATCCTAAAACGTGAGAAAAGTGCAATCATACTTTTGTGAGTAAACCGTAGGCATCACTGTTTCCACAGTATGTGGCAATTTGTCGGACTGTTGATCTGCTAGATAATCAATCTGTCAGTCAACGTGCTGGAAAAAATTGTGATACTTTTTTAGTTGCTTTTCAAGTATCTTATCAGTTACTCTTTGAAAATTTTTGGGATTGAAAATCCAAACGAATACGTACCAGGAAATTAAAGCCACTTTTTCCGTACTACTCCATTCCTTGGGACTAGCGAAAAGGGCGAAACGTGGCTCCCCCGATGCCTTTAAAGCTTGTAAGAGCTCGCTGTACCCGTCGGTAGGCTTACTCACAATGTCCAGAATCACACTCGTTTGACGAGTATTGAGCTTGAAGGTGACCCAGGGAGGTGCATGATACGTTTTCACCTTTCCAAAGATATCCATAACCTCGTCATCAACCTGTAGCCCTAATGACTAAAGAAAACAAACAGAAAAAGGACAACCCCATGTGAAATGTCTTCAAAAAAGGTTATTTTTGGCCCCTCTCATGGGGGCAGAATGTCGCCCCCGCCCCCGCCTGATTTGATTTAAACCCGGCATGCTTGTCTAAACACTCCTTTTACACCACGAATGTGAAGTTTGAACTCAATCAAACGTATGCTTTTGTCACCTGAAGTTCAAGGCTGTACGTGCGCGCGCCAGAGTACGTGTACATGTACATTGAGCACTGCTACGGAAAAGTATACATTTTTGGCTCACCCGTCAAGGAAAAACGCGCTCTGTGAGAGGACCATATATGTTTGAGTTTTGCAAGACTTATTTTTAAGTGGCCACAAAGAGTTACTCTAAACATGCCATAGGCTCAGCTCTTGAAAAAAAACGCACTGCGGCGGATTCCTCCCTTGGCTCTTTTAGGGTATTGTGTTTTAATTTAGTGACATATCTGCACGTTTGTTGTTAAAATAAACACCGCAATATGGTCAGCCAATTATTCACATCACACACCTCTCCATACTACTAAAGATAGTACAGTACAGTTTTCCTCGTGTATTCAACCACTTATGGTATGAAATATAAATATAAACCTGAATCTGTTGTCAACAGTAGTCCATTGAAATGTCGCGGCTGAGTCGTCACGTTCGTCGTGGTTATGGCAATCTGGTGGTACCATACCGAGCGTTGTTTTGTCTTTCATTGTCTCTAACCATGTGATTCTACCTCCATGCTCTAACTTACCATGGCCATTTTGAAGCTCTTGTAAACGAATGATCTTCTTGGAAAAAGCCTGGAGTCCTAAAGTGTCTATAGAGGTTGGGATTGACGCTCGCACCAGCCTTATGCACAAGGTGAGACAAGAAAATGAAATTCAACACCGACTATGAGTCCACCACTTGCATCAAAAACACGATGACGTGGCGGAGTCAAATCAATTGAGTGACTCCCTTCTCGAGAACTGAACTATACATTACAGGGACGGCCTCGATGCTTTTGGTCATGGTAAGTTTGTGCGCATGTGAATGGGGCCATTGCTTTGTGCACAATCTGTAGCAGTGATCACCATCCAATGGAGCAGCGCAATGGCTTTCCATAGGCCACACCTCTCTTTTAGTAATAGTATGCACTTGTGTGAAATAGTCAACACTACATAAACATGTACATGTACAGTACATGTATCTGTACAGTACATGTACTTTGCAGAAACCAGGCTTGCACACTAGAAACCTTTGATAGGGTGACCCTTGCCCGCAGTGACCTCGGGCGCAGTTCTAGTACACCATTGTGCAAAATGTACTGAAGGGTGCACCACTACAAATAAATTCCCATAGACAGCAATGATAAATCCCCTCACTTTGCAATTATTTAAAAAATACTCACAACTCTCCCAGGTGTCCAGGCCACACAGAAATACGCTGATCGACATGTCCCCTTTCATTTTCCTTTCAATTTTCGGGGGGTTGACTAATGAATTCTTGAGCAATTTTCACCAGAGGCAGACTACCCCTAAAATGAAGCCTTAAATGTCCCTGCCCAGAAAAGTAGCCATTTTGAAAAAAACATCCCTCTGCAAAACGGCCAAATTATGCCACTTTCGGACCCGACTGCACCCAAATTGCTAAGAATTTGAAGCCCAAAGTCTGGGCCAGAGGCTCAGTGCAATGTTTCTCCAATTCCTCAATTTCATGGCTCTCAGGACTCTCTAATATAGAATTGAAGATGATACCTCGTATGATCTGTAGCGGAGGTGTGACTTAGTTTAGGGTAAACATGGAGGAAGGACACGAACAGGAGTTCGGACGAGTCGGACATCAAACGTACGAGGTTTCTTGCCGCGGTTGTGAAACCGAGATAACACGCCTTAGCATTTGTGTCCTTCCTCTATGATTTAAAAGATTAGTAAATTTTGAAGAGTCCCCCATTGAGTAATGTAACGGGGAGGAGCTTAGGTCATGTGGACACACGTGTTGCTAGGTTGTTGGTGGCAGAGACCACAGACTTGGTGGCCACGAAGCAGTCGTACCTGGAGTGGTGGCTCCAAGATCCCGAGAGTTTTCAAGGCCAGCCATTGCTAAACCTCTAGAAGAGGGAGGCGAGTAAGCCACAAGACGTTTAGCTGTAGGGTGATCCTAATTGGTAGGGGTTAATGAAACAACTACAGGCGTTTTCTCCGTAGTTGAGGCGAGTGCTCTTCAACCAGGCATCGTGACTAGTAGAGCCACAGGTGGACCTGATGTTCAGAATGTTTGAGAGAAGCAAAGCGAATGTTGTTGAACACCACGGTCCAATTAACGGTGTTTGAATGAGTTTCAGGGTGTGTTCTAGAGGTGGTTCGTCACCACATCAACACCTAAGATGCAAGACCGATGAAAGATCCACCTAGACGACACCTACATTGTCAGCAAGAGGAGATCCAAAGACAAGTTGATGATCTCTTGAGGAGAGGTTTGATAGAACTGTCCCAAGGCCCTGGCCTGAACTTTGCAGAGAACCTGCGTAGAAATATGCAGCCCAGGATTGTCTCGGGGAGAATGCCCAGAGATAGAAGAGGAACCATTACCGGGTAGCTCAGAGAGGTTTCAGGGAAGGTCGATTTGTTTGGCTCTTTCATCCAGCGAAGAAAAGGGGCATGTCCCCTAAACTTATGCTTAGATGGGAAGGGTCATGGCTTATTGTTAGCCGTCTGTCTGATGTTACGTTTCGCATGTAGCTGCGACCCGGTAGCAAACCCCGTGTGGTACACAGCGATCGCCTGAAACCACACGTAGGTGAACCCTTAGTACCATGGACGTACAAGACGGGACAGAGTCTGAAAGAAGAGACAACAATAGACACAGAACCTCCGCCAGATGCGGTGTTGAGTGAGGTACAAAGAAAGTGTCGAGGTTGCAAAAGAACCAGAGAAATCAACAGGCAAGTGACATAGTCGAGACTCCAGAGCAAGAGCCAGTAAGTGAGGTAACGGAAGCTCAATGGGTAGGGCCACCAATAGACTTGGAGACGGAAGAGGAAGGAATGCCGAGGCGCAACCCAAGACGTAGCCGGCAACGTCCCCTTCGTTATAGAAACATAGTCGCTTACGGTGAGGTTGCAATGATTGACACGTAGCTTAAATCGCAATTTTTGTCTGTTCGTTTCCATCATCGGATTAGACACGATGATGAAGAGTACAGTCCAGAACCGGCGTAAGCGCAGGAAATTCCAGCATATTCAGTACAAGAGCTGGTACTACCATAGTCAAGGCTTGTGGCGGCACGTCCGAGAAGCACATGGACCGGCAAAGTTTATGTATTGCTGCAGATGCCCTTGTGAGGCAACTTGGGTTGACACAATGAGGCGTCATTATGTGGCTTCCCCCCAGAGTACGTTCAAGAGGCGATCACCCTCAGCCCAGAAGCAGAAAGGCTGGATAGACCTGAGGCAGAGACCTAGTCTATAGAGTGGAGCGGGGTTGGTCCATCCGGAACCCAGGCACCAACACAACCGCTTGATGGCCAGGACGGAGAAGCAGGAGACCCTGATACTCTGTCGTTGTCCCCCTGTCCTTTTTTCTCCCCTTCTGAGGTAGGTATGGAAGAGATTTCGGTGGCAGTCCAGCAGGCACCGGTCCAAGCTGACCAGGACGTCTCGGTATAGTCAACCGAGACTTCGGTCAAGCAGAGCCTTGCACTACCATTGTCAGGCAAGCCCTGAGCCATGTTTCAGTGTCGGAGTGCCCCAGCATCCTTGACCCCATCGACAGCTTCGTCAATTCCATCATTTGCCCATCCCACGGAAGCGGAGGATACCTCGAAGAAGCGGTTGATGCGGAAGCTGTCAACGATAAGAGAACAGCTCATCAAGGAGACGCGGGTGAATGGCAAACTAATGAAGAGAGAGGAGTCATTATATATGCTCAGGATGTGTAATACCAGGAAAATCCACTCCATACACGATATGGTTAAAAGTTGCGTGTCTGTCAGAAAAAAAAGGCACACGTCGAGTCGTCACCAGCGAAAAAGCTGTTTCCCTAGTGCTTACGGTGCCCCAAATCTTCAGCTTAGATGTCAAACTAGTCCTAACCTTGAGGCGGAGAACGGAGTCTTGCGAGGGAACCGGTTACAATATAGTTATGTGGTCGGTCGTGAGCTCCATAAGTCTCCACACTTCACCTTGATAGACGACCTTGTTAATGAGTCGCAGGAGAACGCACTATGCACGAGCGGTCATCAAACACAAGAATCTTTGTGCCAAAACTTTATTTTTAATTTTAGTTTTTTGATTATTGATGCAAATGCAGGAAGGAAAACCCTTCAGGAAATCAGAAAAAAGAGAGAGAATAAGTTGATTGTTGTTCAGAAAGTCCCTGAAGCAAAGTATAGCTGTCTTGTTATACAATCTATGGTCTTTTTTGTGTTCTCAATTTATGAAATAATCGATAAGGCATGCACCCATGTGCTTATGCGTCCGTTAGTTTGGCTTGTTACCAGATAAAATCCTATTTATATCCAATACTTTAAGTCTCCAACCGGTTTATCTGGTCAGTTTCGGTTTGGCTATATGAATTAGAAATTTTAACGAGAACACTAAATTTCCTTGGAGTGAATGATTTTCAAATCGATTTCTACGCCATAAAAGACAACGATTTGAAATGGCGTCAGAAAGGTTACATGTCTGCAGATCCCACTGAGATACCAAGAGGGAAGCCTCGCAAAACCTGAGAAATTACATTTAGAAGCGTAAAGCATTCAGTGTCCTCAATGGTTAAGAGACGTGAATTGGTCAACGTACTTAGCGACTGTTTAAGCACATTGAACTTAATACTAAAAACGGTTATCATTACACTCTAAGGGTAAATGTGTTGTGTGACATTACGAAACAAATTATGTAGGGAATAACGGTATGTTCTAATCGAATAAAAAATCAATTAAGTAACGAACTCCGTCATTTGCATGGTTTTGTGCATCGGACAAGTAACACCACAAAAAGCATACATTATT